GATCGTTTTTCTCCTCCGCTACGGTATCCCCGTCGCAGCCGCGCATGCGCGCCGCCAGTCTTGTCTGCATTGTTCAAGGTCTTCTGGCGGATTACGGAGCGCTATCCGGGTGCTTAGCGGGCTGCGGAGACGGTCTACTAAAATTCCCTAATAACGCTGTGGCTAGCGTTACGTCCGTACGGATCACCGAAACGCGTATACCTACCCCCCCCCCCCCCCCCCCCCGCCCTCCTCTCTCTCCCCCGTGAACCTAGGGAAGGCGGAGATTTGGACGTAACTTGGGTTATGTTGGACGTAACGCTAGACACTTCGTAATAATAATCTTTATTGGCTCAGGAGAGCCGCGGCACTGCACAAAGGCAACACCCCGTACCATGGAGGCCCAGGCTCCCGAGTCTAGTGATGGTGATTATGATATGACATGTACAAGTACGTTAGGCTTAACAGCGGTCTTCGCGAGGCTACCATGGGCTGCGGACTTTTAGCAGGCCGGTCTCGAGCCCTGACGAGGGGTCCCAGCGTGGAAAGACGCGTTGGCAACCCGCTCTCTTATAGGGCGTTCGCAATTCGCTCTCTTAGTGTCGTCAGCCTCTATTCTTAGCCTTCCCGCTTGATTCCACCGTTTTTAGCGCAGGCGGGCGAGGGAAGCTTTCCATGGGCAATATTGTCAAGTTACGTTTTATAGCCCTTCAAACTCTCGTCTGTCCAGTCGCTTAACTCACACGATGCCATTTATCCGCGTTTTAGCGCCCGCAGAACCTCTCTGTCGGCGTCAGCATGATGCCTTCGTTGACGTGGCCTCGACACGGTGAGAAACGCGCGGCGGGGGAACGCGGTAGTCGAACGTTGATAGACCGACTCTAGACTCGCTGATGAACTCTCCAAGTTGCCCGCATCGCGACACTCGGTGAGTCCGCCGGGCGGACGGAAGGTGTTGCGGTGGTGCGCACTGCCGACCGCGTTGTCCGCGATGACCCGTATCTTGGCGAGCACGGTGTGCGCAGCGTGGTGTGCGTTGCACGGGTGCGATTAGGGGCTCGAAGAGCCCCGCTACCCGGTCATCTTTCCGCACGCGAGGCATCGGGAAGACAATGGGCCGCCGCGCGGACCGAAAGTGTTACTGGGACGGGGGCAGGCGCGTATACGGTCGTTATACGGCGCCTTCTTTGGACATTCGTGCGCGTGGAAGATGCGTCTGCCACCGACTTCCGTCACCTGACGCTATGCAGGCCGCTGCCGCGCGTGACTCGCACGGAGCGCGAGAATCGGGACCGCGCATTGTTCTTGTCCCGAACCTTCGGAGGCTGTTGTTGTTCGGCTTTTGTGTGTGTCTTTCGGCGCTGCGCGGCTACCGAGACATTGTAACGGTCTCAGTGGATGAAGTGGGGCGACTTTGCGTGTCGCGTTCGCTTTTCCGCGTGTTGCCTTCGAGGCCGTGTATGTCCCCTCGATGGCTACCTTTTAGGAAGCAGGAAAAAGGGTTGGTTGACTCGCGGGTGTGCGATGTTTCTCAAGGTACACGCGGAATAGCTTTTGTTTTCCGAGAATGCCCTCCGCAGTGTGAGAGGCAAAATTGACGTTATAGCTTATGGGAGTGCCTTGATATTTCCACCCTTCCTCGGTGCGGGTGTAAGCATGCAGGAAGGCTCTTACTCCAGCTAGGTTAAACGCAGTTGAAAGTAGAGAACAGGTTGGGGCTAGCTGGCTTTTCTGTACGAGGTGAGAAGTGGGCCTTCCTGGAATCGTAAGAATGCCGCCCTCGTATTCGATTCTATGTCCCCCGTTTAAGAAGTTGAGTGCGAAGAACAACCAATAAGGAAGGCTTGTTTCTTTTTAAATAACAGCGGGAATAGAGTGGGTCTCTCACTGCAATTCAGTCTCCAGGTGTACACCTTTATTCATTGTGAATGCTGGCCTACGATGCGCCATTATTGTCGTAAAATGTGTAATTGTTGATCAATTCAGACATCGGGATTCTCAAATCCCGCATCAAATCCCGCTCGTTAACGGTGTTGCATGACTGCGACACCGTTAACGCAAACAAACGATACCGTTTTTTTTTTCTTTTTACCTTAAGACCCGAAATGTTGTCATAAAAAAACTAGCAGTGTAATCGAGAAGGGTCATGAAGACCACTAGCCGAAGTGGTAAGGTTTGGTGCCCGCCGATACCTTTCAGAGATAAAATGTTCAAAGGCGCCGATGTGTTCGGATTAAGGCTGTCGCGCAGTGTATCATTTCCTCCATACAAATATATATATTTATATATTTTTATGGATAAACGTAATGAATTCCTTGCGGATGGATGTACCGAATTTTCCTAAAATATTCGTCCATCCATAAAAGCCCGACTCATGAATACGAGGGTAGGTAAGGGGTTCGAGCGGCTCATTCGCTTCACGCGCAAGGAGTGGGTGCAAGTTACATTGCTTGAAGAATAAGTGGGAGTCGCTGCCGTGACATTAATGTAAACACAACCATTGCTACACTAAAAAATTCCGAGTCATACTCGTTCTGTTTATTGCCAATTATAATGACCTCGGCCGTCTTTTATAGTACTAAATAATTAATGAAAATAGCGCGAAGGACAGACAAGGACATGAACACAAAGACGAGATCAGCGCTAACCCACAACTGCCGTTTTAGTTAGTACAACTAAAATTAAAGTTGTTCTTATCCAACTAGCCCCCCCCCCCCCCCCCCCCCCTTTAATATTTTATATTCTGTACCACATGTTTCATTTTTTTTTTTTTTAAATCCGGACTGTTCTTTTAGGTTAACCGTTTTGAACACATCAAATATTCTTTGGAAGGATTGCGCTTGCTCTCGGGCTTCATCGCTTCACTTGAATACATCTGCAATCCCTCGCACACATTTGGATATCTTCGCTCATACGATTAGTTCATATCCTATTCAGACTCAGAAACGCACACTTTATCCGCGATTTGCTGAAGTTCCGCTCTTTTTTTTTCTCGTTGCAGACACCATAGACTCCCCTGCAGTCCACCCGAAGCCGGAGCCCTGGAACTCTGCCACCATGACTGACCAGGAGGACCACCAGCTGCTCGGCTTCGACGACAGCCCCGTCGTCATTCCGGAGCCCAAGAAGGTCTCTCCCGAAGTGAACGGTTCCGCCGTCCAGGTCACTAAGGCCGAGCTCATCCTCAACTCCCTCAACTCGGAAAAGAGCCTCCAGAACGGGAATCACGAAGACGCCGCACCGGTCAAACCGAAGGATACCAACGGTTGCTCCAGGGTCGAAGATGTGCCGGCCGATGATCAGGCCAACGATCATCGGGCCAACGACCACAATGCTGCTACTCAAGCCCATACCAGGGACGGAGAGCCGCTCTACAGTGAGGTTCCTGAGGACAACATATACGAGGAGGTCATTCCCGTCCATGAGAGGAAAGTTAACGGGACCACGGAGACAGTGCAGGAGGTAGCACCCAAGACGACGACGGAGCTCGTGTCGAGTCCCTTGTACGACGACTCTTCGCTATCCAGCGAGTTGTCCGCTGAGCTGTCTCCACCACCGTCCAACGTCGGTGACGGTGCCGGTTCCAACGGAACCACCCTCTCAGACCCCGAATGTGACACGATGATGACTGTCGGGTCAGCCCCGGAGTCGCAGCTTCACGGGATGGACGTGCCGTTTGTGGTCATCGAGGACTCGACGCCGGTGGACTCGGACCAGTCCAACGACGAGGTGACCGACCCTCCCGTTGTCCAAAGCCCCGTGCAGGTAAAGGCGGAACCCGTGGAGGAAGCATTGGTCGAGCCGACAATCTTGCCGGTTGTCAAGAGTGCCCCAGAAATTGAGGTGCAGCCGGTCGAGCCGCCGTCTGAGACGTCCCTGCCGGAGACACCAGTTCACGATGTAGAGGAAGCCGTGGAAGAGACGTCGTCTCAACCTGTGATTTACTCCGTCACAGAGTTCACCAAGGTGGAAGCGGTGCAGTACGTCGAATCGGAGATGGCCGGTGGTGGTGCGACCTTAGTTGAGGACAAGTGCAGTGTGAAGGACTCCGAGTGTGCTGACCCGTGTGTGGGGGAACGCGAAGCTGAGGGGATTGTGGAAGTGAAAACGATGGTACACACAGATGTTCCTGCGGCCAAACAGAGCATGAAGGTGGAGGTGGGCACCGGTGATTCTCCTCTAGAATGCAAGGTGACCTCGGAGCCTATTTATGTAAGTTTTTATCTTAACCATCTTATTTTCCGAGTTCCAATCCTCGCATTTTCGGCATTGCGTTAACTGTTCTCCCCTCAAAAGAAGGAAATACATTTATCATCCGAGGAACGGAGCGAACATCGGCAAGAGTTTATAGAATTCCCTTTCCAAACGTTGAAGGACTTTTCACAAAACATAACTCAAGATACCTTAAAAAAAAGGTTTTTTTTGTAGTTACTAGGGCTGGGGGCGTCGAGTAATAAGTTTAACCCGATTAATCGCCGCCCTTTAATCTATTAATTAATTGTTTTTGTTAATTCCCACGCATTCTTGTTCTAACAAAGTCGATATTAAATGTTTTGCCTTTGCTGAATATGTAACAAACTGCACAGTACAGTTTCGGATTTTAAATCAGTTTCGATGTGTGGGTTAATCCATGTTTGCGTAATAAAAGCGTTTATTTTTTTTTCAAAATTTAACCGAAATTTGGTAGCGTCACGTGTCACGTGACCCTACCGAGTAGACCACGCGCACACGGTTGCACAGCGTGGGATCGAGCGTGGGTTGATTGAGAAGGCTTTGCTCTCTGTTTTTTTCCTTTAGTAAATCGAGATTTTTCTCGTCTTCAGTTGGCAAGAATTTACAAATTATTCATAGTAGTTGCAATCCTGGATGATCAGTCAGTGTTTCTACGTCGGAGTCTCCATATAGTTTGACTTTGAGACAAATCTCAGCTCTAGCAGGTGTACCAGAAGCTTCCATCTCTTCTGCTGACGATAGTCTGATGCACTGGGTACCGTATCTTGGGTCGGAAGACTCCACTGATGGTGGTGTGGATCAAGACTCGGGTTTTGTTGACCTTTTTGCGTTGAACCTGAAGCCACATCGTTACCTGACGTACTGATCCTCTTCGCTTTGAGTACAGGAGCTGTCTTCGGTTGGAAGCCAATCGGAATGTATTTCGCTCACTGATACTGAGGTCTCTTTCGGTATGTAATTTCAAGCCGGGAAGGTTGTATCCTTAAAAAGACCCCTGGCCTGCTTCAGTCCTTTTCTCGTTTCTTTCTTTCATGGGATACCCCACTTTGTTACCTTCGGGAACTCCTAGGTTTGTTCAAATCAAGATTTTCTCGGGTCTGGTATTTCAACGAGTATACTGCGCTACACTGTTAGCGCGAACAAACTATCGCGGTCTTTTATCTTCGTTTTTTTTTTGTTTTTGTTTTTTTGTTTAGGATTAAAAGGTTATCATCAAAACTTTAAACTGGGAAGTGTTCCTTTGGGGCAGTAACGTAAGCGGTAAAGTTCGGTGCCCGCCAATACTCTTTCGAAGCAAACAAAAAAAGCGTCAACGTCGTGTTTGCGCACTGTCGTGCAGTGTAATTTTTTTTACCCCTCTACTTGGTGTTGTAATATGAGCGATATATTGAAGCACTGTTTCTTTTCTTTTTCTTTTTTTAAGTGTACCTTATAATTAAAAACCACAATTTTATCTTACTAGCAGTGGCGTGCTGCTTTCATTACAGTTTTCATTGAGTGAACACCACTTATATCTAGATGGAAATACTTGTATGATTCCAACTAACATGCGGATTAGCCTTATCAAACCGAGCGCTTCGAACTGTAGAGAACTTAATTGTATAATTTCATATCGCAATGACGGTGTCCATTCGTAAGACACTAAGAATTTCTCTTGGTTCTCGGGAACTAACGTTTAAGTATCTTTTCGATTATGGTAATTTCCTTTTTTCACATTTGTCCTGAAATTTGCCGCCATGCCTGTGCGCTTTCTTTTTCGTGTATAATAGTTATTCTGTAATTTTGATTATGTAATTGGTCAATAATCCTGAACAATTTACCGCTTCTACAAAAGGAAAGTTATATTTTGTTTCAGTTAATTGCGCTATGACTGAAAAATACCTTTAAATCGTTGCAGGTCTTTCAATGACGTTGCACCTATATCGATATGATCTGAGTTTAGGATTGTCTAAATATCCCTTGGCAAAACTTGTTCTTGTCGGCATTCAGTCACTTACCCCACTCACTCGCATTTGCAGATGTGAGTTAATGGTGAGTTCGTAAGCCTCAAGAGCTCACGAGCTTGGGGTCGATGAGCGGCGTGAGGTTAAGTGAGGGCTGCGAGTTTGAGTTCATGACTTCGGTGACTTCCGTGGATGTATTCGACGTTAAACAATGCGAACAAGAAATAAACTGCATTGTGTTTTCTCTAGTGGACTGACTCGGCGCTTTCGTTTTGCAGGCCACTCCGGTGACTGCGCAGTCCGTTGCCCCTCCTGTCGTACTGGACGACATTCCGGCGATTGTGCAATACTCTGCTCCTCCGGTCGTGCTGGACGACATCCCGGCATCCCCTTCTCCGCAGCTGGTTGAGACGCGCCAGCTGAAGCAAAGCGCCGAGGACAGCATCGTGGCCAGGGAGATCCGGGCGCAGAAGGAGCGCGAGGAGACGATCGCCCGAGAGCGCAAGCTCGCCCAGGAGGCCGCCAAACTGTCTCCCGTGACCGAGAAGCCGGTGGACAAGCCAGCTCTCCAGGCCGACGCCATGCATGTCGTCAAGCCGGCGAGGCTCGCTATGTCGCAGGCGTCGCCGGCTGCTTCCCCGCAGTCCTCTTCGGTGCCGGCTCCGTTCCCCGCCTTCATCGAGAAGAGGTTCAGCTGCCCGTCAGACTCCAAGATCGCGGACGAGATCCGTGAGCTCCAGGAGCGCGAGGAGGAACTCCGGGTGCTTCGTGAGCGACTCCTGCTCCAGAACGAACCGGCTTCGACCAAGCCCAGCTCGGACGAGGGAGAGCGGGTCCACAGCGCTTCCAGTTCGTCACCCAACGGAATATCCCGAACCGTGAGTGTGGAATCTCTGCCCAGCGGCCAGTCTGGGCTTTCCTTCGCGTCTCGGAGGAAAGACAAGATCACCGTGCGTCCGCTGTCCGACGGGCTGGACGAGACGCCATCGCCGACGTCTTTCTCATCCAACGGGGAGTCTCCGATCGAGAGGGAGATCCGGCTAACGAGGGATCGTGAAGAGGCCCTTCGACGAGAGAAGGGGCTTCTGGGGCAGCTCCAGGCTGAAGGGTTCATCAAGAAGGGCGACACGGTGCTGCCGTCGTCCATCTGCAAGACCGTCAAGACGGGCAGCGTTCCCCGCGGACCGCCACCTCTCGGCAGCACGCAGAAGATTCTGGCCACGTCGAGGATTCAGCAGGAGATCGAGGAGCAGACCCAGCGAGAGATGGCGCTGAGGGAGTCCGGTCACATCCAGACCATCTCCCAGGAACGGACCGACTCGAGGGTGACGAGGATAGGCAGTGACGGTAGCACCTCTCCAACTGCTCCCGTCAACTCAACCACGACGTCTAAGCGGAACTCGTTCGACACCTCCCTTCCCAACGTGGAGATCTACGAAAAAACGCCATCGCCAACGAACAAGCTGTCGCCCTCGAGTCCGCCACTCTCGACCACGGCGGTCAAAGCCACCAACGGTCACGCCGGGAAGGCCACCAACGGGACAACGCGCGGTGTAAGCATGCAGAAGTTTTTGGCCAGCCGCGGGAAGGAACTGGTGTTCACAACTCCTCCGCAGAACGGCGGGTTTGCGGAGAAAAGTGCCGGGTTCGAGTACCGGGAGCTAAAGCCTCCGCAGCTACAGAAGGGGGTGGTGTCGGGCGATGCGCTGCGCAAGGGACTGGTGACTGCGGAGACCAAGATTCAGGAGGAGATGCGGGTCATGAAGGAACGGGAAGAGGAACTCAGGTGAGGGCACACTGTTCTTACATTTAATATGTTTTAATACATATAGGTATAATACTTCATTGTAAGGCATTCAAGAGAATCAGCATGCTATGATACAAAATCTCTAATCACAGAAAGAAACAAACGAGGTCGCCTATCAACATTCGATGCCTTGCAGTCTGGCGTTATATGTGCAATCAAACCCCGAGAGTTCAAACACGGCACGACACTTCCCAAAGTCATGTCTTGGTTGCATTCTGAGGCCTGTCCTAACTTCGCAGAAAAGGCTTTGAAGTGCCAATTCGATTCGAGGTACGATCGAATTTCGCTAAATATTCAGATTTTTGAATTATGAGGATTCTCTTCATTCAACTTGACCGTTTAGTAACAGCGAAAGGTTGTGCTCATCAGTGCCAGCTTAACTTGATTAGTTGACAAACGTTTTCCCCAGGCAGATTTTCCTATCCCCCGACATTCGTCACCACTTGTTTCGCGGCAGTTCTGTGCTTTTCTGCAACAAGAATTCAGCCTTAGCGTACTAAGAAAGTGACTCTTCAATGAACCGACCACCCCTGCTTTATTGTTCAGAACTTCAGCCATTCATTAGGATGAACTTCACAATGTAAGATGAACGTTACGAGAAGAACGCGAGATAGGCGTGTCCGTAAGTAACTACCCCGGCCAACCACAACCAGGGTATTATCCCCTAATGGCAGTAGTGAGCGACGCCTATATAATTGGGCTCTAGTTTGTTGCTCCACGTTTTTGCTCCAGATGCCCGAGTTTAAAATACGTGTTAATTGAGTAGGCGGCTGACATATTGTTTATGTTGGGGCCTCATTAGATTACGAAAAAAATGTTTCGCGCTACAAATAGGCTAGTTTACACCATTCAATTCCCGGCCTGCTTCCGAGTCATTTCACAATTATTTTGTATCAAGTTTATCTGATACATGTTTTGTTATTTTTGTTGGAGGAGTGAAAAATGGGATGTTTATGTAGAATTAATTTACACAATGACCGCTGAAGAAATACGGAGCCACTCCTTTCAGGCTGAACTCTTCTAAACTATTGGTTTGCTCATAACTCAAGTCCTTTGATGCTGTCTAGTTCGCAGCAATGGAAGTGCTGCGCAATTTGTGTCCAATAGCGCCATGAACGAGTGACAGCGGTTCATACCGTACCGTACAGCGGTTCATACCGTACCGTACAGCGGTTCATCGAAAGATCAGCGAACTTTGACTTAACTATGGTGTCAGCCTCGTTAAAAAGCAGCGTCACCTTTAAGGAACAAGCAATTCGTGATATTTGAGGGCGGTTATGTTTGCTCTTTATGATATTGTTCGAGTTTGCTAGGTTCATGAAACTTGGGGGACGCGTTTTTATTGATAGACATGTTAGCGGATAAGCTGGTTCTTGCTGGCATTTTACTGAAGTATTATTTAGAGGCTGAGTAAACTACCGAGTGTAAAATTGAGAGAGAGAGAGAGAGAGAGAGAGAGGTGGCGTGAGAGAAGCAGGGGAGGTTGTTCTAGCGGGAATGCTGAACTGGTTCCCCATGTAAAATTGAGAGGGAACAGAAGTGTCGCGTAGGTGATTCATTTTTCAACCATTTCTTTACTACCTATTGTAAGTGGAACCTATTCTGACCACTGCCTTATTTTTGAGAAGAAAGCTCTGTGTACCTTTTGCGCCATCTCTATTCTTATAACGAAAGGTATTAAGTAATTTGATCCAGTATCAAAAAAGGACCCCCAACCATCTGCATGGATGAACTCAGTTAGAGATGCAATCACGTTTTCATTTTTAAGTTATGTGCTAACAGATCTGCTCCGAAAGCGTCAGAGTTAGTTTCTTACCTCCGTCCCCTCCATTCAACTCCTGTGTCGTATTCTACGTTTTCGCTAGACATCGAGAAGCTAGCGATATTATCGGTTGGACCCTTCCTTCCTAATGGAATCAATATCATATGCCATTCACGACCATTGCACCTGAGACTTTCAAAACTTTTCTGGCATTTCTGAGAAGGGGTTTGTCTCTTGGCTTTTTATCTCCAATCGAGGCTTGTATAGTACAAGGGGAAAGTCTTAAAGCAAAATAAAGGTATTTGCATCGGATCTGGCCTTGCGCTCATCTTGAGTGAGATTGTTTTCTTTTGCGTTGATCGTGATGTTAAAGGGGCGGTGCAACGATATTCAATTGGAATGTTTTTCACTTTACACGAGCTTACAGGCACCATTGGGACTCAAGGATACTCGCACGCAACGCCACTGACCAAGAAACTCCTATGTTGCGCTGTAACTTCGAGCACAAAACCGAGCGGTTTCATTCAATCCCTCCTTCGCAAAACCTGATGACGTAGCTGGGCGGTAGCAGTACCGCCCAGTGACGATATTTGAATGCGGCTTATTGATTGGACCCGAGCATTGCGTGGGCACTCGATTTGGGCTTGTGATAATCTATAGCTCGAGAAGCATTCGAGTAGTGTCCTGTGTCCAATTGCTGCAATGACGACAACAGCCGAACCATAACAATGTCTGGAAGGCAGCGCGTGTTCTGTGCCTTGCCAACCTAAGCGCATGGCTATGATCAACATTGGCGGCATATGATCGACTCCAGATCACGTGGCCGCTTGTTCTGGCTGCGAGTTGAAAAGGTAAACGCTGCTCGTTTTTTTTGTTTTTTTTTTGTGTGTGACTTTGATTGCGTGTGGTGAAAAACGAACGGGTATTTCATAGGCCATTAACGTCAGGGACCCGTTCTAAGTGGTATTTACGAAAATTACAAAAATCGTTGCATCGCCCCTTTAAAGCGCACCTTGAGCAATTCACCTAAGATTGCGATGTTTTTCAATATGTGGATGACTGCCTTATCGTTCACCCAAACTCGGTCCCTTCTAGTTGTATCATGAACTCCTTTATTTCCTCATCGCCATGCTCTAATTTCTCTCATTACCCTACGCACGAAGGTCTACAGTACCTAGATCTTCGTCTTCATATTCTCCTCTCCGGATAATGCTAAGCTTTCCAACAACGTTCTGAAGAAAAAAAAAAAAAAAACTTCTTTTGTTTTGCAGTTTTAACTCTAAGATGGTTAAGCACAGAATAATGACCCCCTTTATCTCTTCTCGTGCTAAATCCTGTGACCATCTAGTGACGTTTAGCGTAGCAACAAAACAAGAGGCATCTAGGAGATCGGTGCGCGTGATTTGGGAAATTCTGTGGTGCTAGAGGTTGAAGAAGACAAAGTTACATAAAAAGAGTTGTCAGTCAGCGCGGTTTGTTTGAATTTTGCTTTATTTTTCGTGTGTATGGTGTGAGTGTTGTTTGCTATAGTGCGCTGTGGTGTGTGTAATCAAGAACGCCTCCTCGAGGCTGGGTACCCGAGCGATCTTCTAACTTTCATCCTCATTTGTCTAATATTAGATTCCGGAAACTCGTTCTCCTAGAAAGAAGGCGTCACATTTAGTCACCATCCTTATGTCCATAACTCCGCTCACCGCTTGAAGACCATCGCAGCGGGTTTTGATACTTCCGTTGTTTTCTCGTGCAAGATTCGCCTCAAACAACTTTGCATAAGGGTCAACAACAATAGTGCTCCGAAAAGTTGACAAGTGCTGATTGTTGGGCAAGTTGGTATGGTACGTTAGAAAACATGATTGCGCTTTGAAGACAGGGACATAGGAAGAACAGACACCACAGAGCGCTCTGTGGTGTCTGTTCTTCCTATGTCCCTGTCTTCAAAGCGCAGTCATGCTTTCCGAAAGGTTTTTCCATCAAACATGCCAACCCGATCGTCCCTGCAAGAACAAGTAGTGTACTCCATTCCCTTAACCAGCGGAGATAAGTGCAGTAGACAGACTGACACTTCCTCGAAGCAACCCGAGCATCCAGTGACTCTCTTCACGCTATTGTGGAGCCTAACCGCATTTGTTTGGACTGTGATCTGCACTTCAATCCAACCCGTGTTTTCGGGAAACACAAGGTTAGACTTGGCAGAGAAATACTCGAGTCCTATCGGATGGTCGGTTATGTTTTGAAAGTTAGCTCACCTCCCCTTAGCTTATCTAAGACTGAAGTAGACTTTCTGAGGAACGAGTTAAAGTAGTTAGTTTACTTCGAATTTGTAATGCTCCTTGTTTAGTTAAATGTTTTCTATTTCTTTCTTTCGTTCCTCTTTCTTTTCATTCTCTTTCCTTAACAGTTACTTTGTGTGCTTCTTTTTTTCTTTTCTTCCTTAACGAACTCTTATTTCTACCGGTTTTCTATTCTTTTTTTTAGGGTTTACCTTTTTTTCGGGGGATTTTGGGATCAGGAAGGGAAGGGCTAGCGCATTGAAGATTGCGTCATTAAATGTCGGTTGCTAGTTGAAAGAAGTGTTTTTCTTCGCCCCTGCATGTCTTATTCCCTCGTGCTTTTCGCATCATGCCTTTGTGTTGCCCTGCAAGTGAGCCTCTGGTACTCCTCACATGTTTGGAGTTCACTCGCGCCATTACGTTCTCTCGGTGATTTAGATTTAGTGTTGACATATTGAGCTCGATCAAAATAGTAATAGTAAAGAATATGTACCACTTGTCTTTCATGAAAGTTTTATACGTGAAAGGTAGGAAGATTACGTCCAGTCGTATTCAATCATTTGGTACTCGGAAAAAACCATTCACTGCCTACGTCAATTGGGTAACTACAGGTGTAGGGGCAACTCGTGCGGTAACAAAATAAATATATCTTCGGAAAAAAATATTTTCCAGTTCATTCTGCTGCTACGCTGTCATGGTAGTCTTAAAACCCGCTTTGAAAACCGCGGTCACCCTGCTCATACAGCATGCATGCAAAGCGTAGTGTGTTCGCTGCAGGCATGATAGAAGTATCTGCGGACACTCCCTAAGCATGTTCGAAGCCTATTTGCTTCATACATGCTTCGAAAATGTCTGCAGACAGTTTTTGTACGGTCAGTGGGACAGGCAAGACCTCAGACAGTGTCTGCACTTTGTTTTTTGTATGATGTATGAGCAGTGGTAAAGTAAGAATGCAACTTCGGATTCGAGGTTGAATGCTGGAGCGAGACGTGTTCTTGGTCCCGAGGATGTGCTAACGTACCTTCCCTTTGTCCCTGGTCCAGGCGCCAGCGCATTCGGCTGCTCGGCCAGTCGCAGCCGAACCTAAGCTTGCTGGAGAGCTGCGTGGACATGGACTCGGTGGACGGACACCAGCTCCAGCGCGTGGGGAGCAACCCCAACCTGCTCGAGTCCCATCAGCCCTCGTCGCCAGAAGGATCGGTGAGCATCCAACCCCCCTTTCTGAACACCACTCAATAGTAGTGCGCTAAAAGACTTTTTCCAAAACCCTATCGAGCTGCGTGGGAGCGGTCGCTATGTCCTGGGCACCACGGAGCGCGTCATTGGATCCAAGTCCTCACCGAGGGATGACGCAGCTGTCGTTTTCGACACGAGCTGAGTCGAGTTCACGATGGACGCTGAGTCAGACCTCGTGTCCCATACGTGCTAGAGTACGTGCCAGCGGACTTCGGAAATTGTCTCGGATGGAGCGTACTTTTGACTTCTTCGGAAGTATACCGGGTGCTTGTAAGAAAATTAAATCCTCCTTTGATGCCCGCATAAATTAACTACGCATCGCGGAAAGGTGATCATACACCGTGAGAATGCGACGCAAGTGGTTGCGGTGGAACGCGCGCAGGTTTGATGACACGATGTTACCCGGGTCCAAGAAAGAACACATTTTCTCCGAGTTCACGTCTACCTAAGCCTGATATTCGACAAACCAAAAGAAGACTGCTGCGGGTGCCTCTGACATTTAGTTTTATTATTTCATTGAAAAAAAAAATTGAGCGAAATTTTTTTTTTTCCTTTCTTGCTCGTAAGTTTCTTCTACTAAAATAGATGCTAGAGGTACCCACAATGGCATATCTTGGTATGACGAATATTAATCCTAGATGGACATCGGCTTGCAGAGGAATTTTGTTTTTCTGGTCTACCTTTCATCCAGGTAAAAAGCATGGCAGTTTGATATTTTAAACCCATGTTACAAATAAAAAAAACAAAAAAAACCGCGCGGTGTGGTTAAAAAAACCCGCTCTTCGTGGAAGGCTCGTCAAATTAAAAGGCGCTGGAGAAAACCAGTCTCTTGCGTTAAAGCGCGAAACACATGTACGACGAAACCGTCCGATCCGACGTCCGACCACGCAATACGACGGTCGGAGGCGAGGGTTTTCAACGCTCTCCGATGCTACGAAAACCCTCTCCCCCCAAGGTCATTTCGGCAGTCCGCGCGTCGGATCGGACGGGCTCGTCGCTTTCCGCCCATTCAAAAGTTTTTTTTTTTTTACAGAAAGAGAGCCTGGCTCTCTTTCTGTAAAAAATAAGGCCAAGAAACTTGCCAGGGTCTACGGCGGGCGACGACCCAGACGACAGGGGTTCAGTAGCGGGGTGTGTTTGGCGTTCGTATCGATAGATGGCGTCGGGAGCAGCGTCCGAAGGTGCAGCCGACCGCCGAGAGAAAGCAGACGACACGCAGACGAAATCCGTTGGCAGCAAAAGCGCTGCCGTTATGCAGACGCGTTTTTTTACTTCAAGTTTTGCTTTTATTGTCCGAATTTATTTTTTAACCGAAGGTATATTTCAAAAAGAATGTGTTCATTTTAATAAACCACAGTGGTCGCGAGCCGTCGTGATAAGGAGGTAGCGCCATCTATCAATACGAACGCCAAGCACACCCCGCTACTGAACCCCTGTCGTCTGCGTCGCTCCCCGCCGTAGACCCTGGCAGGTTTCTTGGCTTTATCTTTTACAGAAAGAAAGGTACGCCTTGTAATTTTACAAGAAAAAACCTACCTGTGAAATACACCTTCGAAGAAAAGTTTAGATTGCTACGTGCAGGCGTCGATTTTTACGGTCCAATTTAGATCGAGCCTGGTGACTTGGGCCACCCTATACTTCGAAGATGTCTGCAGACAGGTTTTGTACGACCAATGCGACAGGAAATACATGAGACGGTGTCTGCAAACTGTCTTCTGTGTGGTGTATTAGTTGCATGATCGAGGCTGTAGTGTCAAGTGCAGGAGAGATGCGTGTGCTTAAGCAGAGTGCCGCTCCATTGCAGGGATCCGGCAGCGCCGCACCCCGGCGCCGCAGTGCCCTCATCGCCCAGTGGGAACAGAGGATCCAGAGCACCGACGTTGCCAAGTCGTAGACGCCCATTTTTTTAATTTTTTCTTTTATTTTTTTGCTTTCATTAGGCGAGTGCGAGGTAGACTGTGGAAAACTCGGACCCACGAGTCGCTGCATTCCACCGTTTCCGTCGAGAAAAATGGGGTTTATTTTGGTTTGGCTAGAGGATTATAGACAGTATTTTTTTACGCATTTATCTACATGCCGCCTTCTAGACGCTTCCACAACGCGGCTGTCTCCCTTGGACCGCGTACCTTTCTATTTGTTTGCATAGTTTACGTATAGCAGATAATCCAAGTGCCTTCAAAACGAGAAGCATTCTGACATCACATATCCACAAGCTACAGCTAGATTTTTTTTCTCGATTTTTTTTTTTTAAAGAAAATATTTTAGGTATCTTGTGCTCTACACACTTTGTGCCCTCTCGCGTACCGTGTAGAATTTATTCTTCCTCGATTTTACGAGGCGTTGTCATGACCTTTGTCCTTAGTGTTCCGAAATGTACGGAACCTTTCCCGATCAGTTACTCGCCTCGCGTTGCCGCGGTAGTTTAACGGCCACTGTGGCAGTACTATTTTTATGTTTATCTAGAAAGAGAGTAATGTCGATGATGACGAGGTTGTAATTATCTTCGCTCACCGAGGTTGTGCCACGTCCCAAGGAAGACGGTTGTCCGAGGTCCTCCGACGTTCACACTGCGTTTCGGCCTCTGCACGAGACGCTTGGTTCGAGAAGACAGGTTCCCGATTCTTTCTCTCAACGAGGACTGGTTTCTTCAGAAGTGTCAAATGAATACGAGAGGCTGGATGAAAATGTTGTTGGAGGCGCAGCGTGATGGTATATTATGTCTGCTGGTGTTACGGTAATTGGTGTGGTTTAGTTTTATTTTTGTCTACTTTCGGTATAATCTCAATATGTAGCCTCATGCAAGCTTTACACGCGTTTGTTATTCAGCCGGCTTCGTTTCCGTCCACTCAGTGGAGGGCATCTGTTGTTGGCGGGCCTTGTGAGATAGCAATCCGACCGTTGTCGCTGCGAAACCGTTGAACTAACCTAGCTGCCTTTGCAATGAGAACTGTATTTTTATATGCACAATAAAGGAATTATTTTACCTGACCTTGCGGCATTCCATGTTTTCTTTTCTTTTTTTTTATGGTTAAGTATGTGGGAGTTAAACAAAAAGCCAAAACAGTTTTAAAAAAGTTTTTCAAATGGGCACCGTAAAATAACGTATGAATGTTTTTTTAGTGTTAATGGCAGGAACGACGTAGCAGAAATTACAAATCGGTCGCAGCTCCAACCCTTTGCTTTTTGCCGAGAACCCGAGAACACAAGACTGCAGAAAAATTAACAAAAGCGATGTCCTTTGTGGTGTCGGGTGATTCCTATTAGGCACTCACCTCACTCAAATTCCAGTGGGGGCGTCATGTTGCCTTTGACAGTTAAAAGGCAGCAGAGGCTTACTACACGCCCTGCTGCAATTACAACGTCCTTTCTTCATTATAAGGTCGAAATGATTTCTTCTATATCTTGGCCAATTCTAGCACGATAATTGAGCTGAAGAGAAAAACGAGAGCTTCCTTCTAATTTGCGTCTTTTGGGGCGTGCTTCAACTTCCCTTTGAAAGTGCTCTTAATGAGCTTTTGACCTCCTGGTGGCTTTCGCTTAAGGTGCTTTACGAAGCTTAAAAAACAAAAAAAACATTCATACAATAACCCCATGTGCATTCTAAGTCTACATAAAACGCACTATCGAATCCCACACAATTCCACTTTTGCGCCGAGATGATGCCCTTTGCACAGCCCCCAAACAACCTCCAAAAAGAAAAATTGATAATGAACTTACACGAGGACGATTTCATTAAATTTGTATTGCACTGTCCGAGCTCGCACTAGCGGGATACTGCTGAGGCTGGCTATTACTATCGCCGTATGTTGCGATGCTAAAAGCTCATTGTTCAATTGCAGGGGGGGGGGGGGGGGGGGGGGCTTAATTTGCGTTTTCCGGGAGATGTTCCTGTGAATGTGCAACCTTGCAAAATGGTAGAGTCACCGGGGTAATACGGGAGACTTGGCAGGTATGATTATATGAAATGACTACTGAAAACAAAAAAAAAGAAGTTACTGGATTGTACAAAAAAATAAAAAAATAAAGCATTGGGTAGATCCCTGGCAATCAAGAAGACTAAGTAAAGAGACGTAATTATTCCATCGGGCATAATAGAAGGAACTGATGTTTTGAAGCTCCCCCTTGGAGCCACAGTCCTGCATAATTTCAAAAGCGGCTGAATGTTTGTTTAGGAAATCGGGTATTCAGTACGTCAATTGACGTGTCTTATAGTTAGTAGAAACATGAACACGTCTCAATGCCAACAGGACATTTTCTGCAGGAGGAAGTGTAAACTCTACTAAGGTAGCGAATTGGGCGAGTTGGTAAACGTTATAACTTATACGTTGTGAGGAGTGTCTGGCGAAGGACTATGCCAGGCGCACGTGCCGCGCACGTGCCGCGAGAGTACAAACACGGAATGGGAAAGACGACGAGGACGGACCGGGGGAACGGGCAGTTAGGTTCTGGGATTTAGGACGGACAGTAAAGGTTCCATCCTAACAAGTGGGGGCTCGTCCGGGATCGAAGATGGACAACCTGGAGGTGCCAGATGAACTGATAGCCCGCCTTTTGAGACAAACCGACGGATCCGTGATGCATCGGGAGCGAGCTTCTGTTCAAGTGCGCCAACTGCTACTGACTGCTGCAGTGCCCCCAGCCAACGAACCCGAGGTGACCGCGGCTGCAGTCCACCCGTCTGGCGGCCCTCTGCCGAGAATTGCGGCGCAGTTGCCGAAGTTCACAGGCTTCAGTGATCGACAGTCGCCCGAAGAATTTATCGAGAGGCTAGAAAACTTTTGTTTGATTACGGGAGTCACCACTGAAAACCGTCTCAGCCAGGTCGTTCCGGCTGCACTGGATGGGAGCGCCAAATTATGGTGGCGTTTTATCGGTAACTTCGGCAGTTGGGATGATTTCAAGACGGCGTTTCGTGCCGAGTTTGCCTCAATCGACGCCAAGCGACGTCTAAAGGACGAGTTGAGACACCGCACTCAACACCCCGAGGAGAACCTCAAGGAATTCATTTACACCATCGCCGAATTTTACGAAAGAATCGGGGAAGAGGTGCCCGACTCAGAAAAGGTCGACCGCGTGCTACGCCAAATGCATCCCCAGCTCCAGGATTTGGCGGAAGGGACGCAGTACGCGAATTTGAGCGAGCTTGCCAAGGCAGCGGACGGCCTCATGGAGCGTGCCTGGCGGCGTCTTCAGTACAAACCGCCCCCCACAAGAAGCAACCAGGTGGCCCGTGACCTAGCTTTCCGGGCACAAGGCAACCGCGACTTCCCCGGGACGGAAACTGCAATTCCCGCTACTTTCGCACCGGCTCTAGCAGCGGCTGTGTCATCTGCAACAGTCGCTATGCCGTCGACGTATCGCTGGCCACTCCACCCTGCGGCAATCGAACCAGCCTACTACAGGGACCAGCTTTCAGGGCCCACAACGTCAGGGGGAGTTGCAGATTCAGTTCGGCCGATGTCTCAGTGGCATCAGCGCCAACAAGGAGTCGACCGTTGCCGGAGATGTGGAGGAATCGGTCACTCCGCTCGCACCTGTGCCACGGGTCGGCGTTTGGGTCCAGGCCTCTGCTTCATGTGCCGACAGCCTGGCCATTTTCAAGCACAGTGTCCGGGAAACGGACACTGGTAGATGCTGTCCCGGTGAGCATCTACGACAGAGCGCTGCAAGGGGCGACTACTGCCGGGGGAAAAGAGCCTCTCCTTGACGTTACCATTGGGTCATCAACGTTCAAGGCGCTGCTCGACACAGGCTCCAGCGTCAGTCTCTTGGGTCGGCCGGCCATCGCAGCTGCTCAAGCCACAGGTGCCAGTCAAAAAAGGGAAGTGCGCACGCTGCGATTGGCAACAGGATGATCCCAGTCCACTGCATCTCTTCGGTGCAAGATCCGGTGGGCGGCCGGTTCCCGGAGACAACTTTTTCTGTGTATGCCCGACCTCTGCAGAGACATTGTTTTAGGAAGGGATTTCCTTACAGTGACAGATATCTCCTTGCATGTGGCGCTTGGGGGATGGACAATTGGAACAGAGCCCCGCGCATTGTTCCATTTGTGAAGGCCATAAAGCAAGCAAGCAGCGAGCTTGGGGCAGAAGAATATTCGTACTCCCTGGAGAACCTCTTCAAAGAGGAGTCAACTTGCGCCACCACATTCAGCCATAGCGCTACCGAAGGCGATGGAGACTCTGCAAAGACACCGGGAGTGTATGCTCCTATAAAGAAATTGTTGGAGATCTTTGGGCCAATCTTCACCAAAACTCCCGGCTGCACTTCCCTTGCTGAGCACCGAATTGACACAGGAGACAGTCCACCCGTTCGTTGCAAGTTGCGTCCCGTCAATTCCAAGAAACAAAAGATCATTGACAGTTGCCTTCAAGACTTGCGGGAACAGGGACTTGTGCGTCGGAGCACCAGTGAGTGGACCAGTGCACCTGTTCTGGTGGCCAAAAAGTCCGGAGGCTTTCGCCTGGCCATAGACTACCGGCCGCTCAACGCACGCACCAGGGTGCCAGTGTATCCAATGCCCCGAACCGACTGGCTGCTGGCACAACTCGGGAGAGCGGAGTGGTTCTCAAGCTTTGACCTTTCGCAGGGTTTTTTTCAAATCCCTATGCGCGAGGACGACATTCCGAAGACGGCGTTCATATGCCACCAGGGCACCTTCGAGTTTACAAGGATGCCGTTTGGTGTTGCAGGTGGTCCAGCCTCCTTTCAAACGCTGATGGACAGAGTCCTGAATGGAATCAACCACCAATTTGCTATGGCATTTAGACGATGTACTTGTGTATTCAGAGACGCTGGACAGCCATGTTGCACATGTCCGAGAAGTCCTGGAGCGCATCAGATCAGCAGGACTCACCATGAACCCCGACAAGGTTCAGGTGTGCTGCCAGTCGCTGAAGTTTTTGGGCCATGTAATAAGCCCTGGACAATGTAGGCCGGACGAGGGGAAGGTGTTGGCGGTGCTCGACTACCCCCGACCTACCACAGTCAAGCAGCTGCAAGCCTTTCTGGGCTTGGTTGGCTATTACCGGAACTTTATCAAACAGTTCTCCATTATTGCCCGCCCCCTCACCGATCTCTTGAGAAATGACCGAAAGTGGATCTGGAATCACCAGCAGGAGCATGCCTTCACCCTGCTCAAGGATGCACTGGCTCACGATGCCGTGATGAGTTTGCCAGACCTGAATCGGCCCTTCGTCGTCGAAACAGATGCCAGCGGAGTTGGCATAGCTGCAGTGCTTCTACAGCAAGGCCCCGATCAACTGCAACCGGTGTCCTTCATCAGCAGGTGCTTACTGAATCTGAGCGACGTTACACCGTCCAGGAGTGGGAGTGTCTCGCAGTGGTCTGGGCAGTAGACAAGTTCAGACCTTACCTCGAGTTTACCGAATTTGAAATCCACTGCGACCACTCCTCACTATCCTGGATGTTCAGCACCGACCGGGCCTCCCCAAGAGTCAAGCGTTGGGTGCTTCGACTCCAGGGCTTCAACTGCAAAATCAAGCACCGGAGAGGGCTTGCGAATATCCCAGCAGATGCCCTCAGTAGGGCACCTCTCCAGCAGGTAGACATACCTGAACAGAGCCTGCCTGAAACGCTGTTTCCCATCTGTGCGCCAGAGTCGGGGCCTAAGATCACCTTTGAGGCAGCTGCAGCAGTGTCCCTGATCGACGATGTCACCTGCTTGAGCGACAGAGCAAGATTAATTGACGAGCAAAAGCAGGACACTCTTTTGTCGAGGCTCCTGAGTGTTAAAGAAGGCATGAAGCTTCCTGATGATGACCCTGACCGGCGCTTACTGGCGGACTTGGCGGAAACAACCGAAGTAGAAGCCAACGGCCTCCTCGTTCAACTACGCGGGGAAAGAAAGGTGCCCTGGCTCCCTACCCATCTTCGCCAATTGGCACTTAAGATGTCACATGACCATCCCACAAGCGCTCACGCAGGTTTTTTCAAAACTCTAAAACGCGTCTCTTCCCGCTTTGTCT